TTTCCTCCTATTTCTTAACTCCTGAGAGCCTGGTAAATGCCACTATATGTAAAAACATGAAATCTATGTTTGCAACAAACATGTATATGGGAAAAATCATTTAAAATAAAATTTCTGAACATTCTATTTCCTAGAATGATTGCCACCCTGTGACATCCCACCTAGTGAAGCAATGGATTTAAGGTGTTCAGGGAAAGGGTGGAAACCAACTATAACAATAGGATTGTTTCTCATCTTTGACTAGCAGATAGGGTTTCGAGTCACTACAAAGTTAATATATCCTTGAAGCCAGGCTTTGACAGAAGAAATGAATTTCTAAATTCCTTGAGCTTCCAATAACATATCAGAAGCCAGGGCTGTTGGACTAGCCGCTAGAATTTCTATTAACCCTGAGTTGGAACAAAAAAAAAAACACTTAGGTAAGGTAAAGGAAGTCTTGGTTACATGGGAAAAACAAAGAGAAATCTGGCCTCCTTTAGGTATGAAGAATTGTGGGAAAAGGTAAAGGCCAGAGAAGAACCAAAGAATCAAACCCACGTGTTCTTGGTTTCTCTTTTTTTGGAGGAAACTTGAGTGAATTTAGAACTCATTTGGAAAGTAGGGAAACATTTGATATGTGGTCATGGAAAACCACTTGGGGGAGACAAGTTTGCACCTAGACCCAAATCATAAGAAAGAACCAGCCCCTGTGAGTATGAAGGAAGGACTCCCAGGCAGTGAAGAAAGCCAGTGAAGGACCTAAGGATTGGAATCTGTTTTGTGTCTGAAGAACTGAAAGAGTGTGATGCAATGAGTGAAAGGGTGAGAGGCAGGGCAGTTAGGGAGACAAAGTGTTGATCATTGATTACGGTCTGTAGGGGCCTAGTGAGGAGTGGGTTTTGTTTTAAGTGTAGTGGAAAGTAGCAGGAGAGGGAATTGGATTGGTTTATCTGTAAAACAGATCTTTGGCTGATGAAATGAATTATAAATGAAAGGACTAGGGATTCAGTCAGTGTTTGGCAGATTTTTTTTCTATGAAGTGCCAGAAAAGGAAATGCTTTAGGCTTTAGGACAGTTTAGCCTCTGTTGCAATCGCTCAATTCTGTCTCATGAAAGCAGGCATAAACAATACATCAAAGATGAGCGTTGCTCTATTCTATTAGAACTTTATTTACAAGTGGTGGACTGCATTTGGCTCATGGGTCATGGTTTGCAAAGCATTAGATTAGATAACGGGGTAAAAGAAAGTGCAGTAAACAGAGGCATGATGTATGTCCAGTGGGAGCCTGGGGAATTCTAACATAAAAGGCCATGGGCTCTGGGCACCAGCTGCAAACTTTCACATTTCCTAACTTTGCAAGGGCTGGTCCAGTGACAGTCTCTATCCACGTGTCTATATTCCAGCTGGTGGTGTATTAGGGTGGTTGGTTTTGCAGATCCTGACACTTAACAATTCAGGAGTCCTCTTTAAGAAAATGAACACAAAATTACAAATAAAAAATTAGGAACAGGGCTCAGAAAGAAACAAATGACAAGCCTTGAAGTAAGAGCTTTATTAGCTTCAGGGTAAATCTACCTCAGCTTGCATGTATCTCCCCAGCTCATAGCAACAACCTCAGCCTCATTATTTTAAGTCATACTGTTTCCAATAAAACCTCCTTTAGTGACATCTGGTGTATGACTGATACTTTCAAACACTCAGAATTCTAAAACAGGAATGGGGCACCTGCTCTGGGTAGATGGCAGGGTCTGCTTTGTAACTACCAGGGTGCCAGTGCTGGGTCCCACCCCATCCACAGTCCTTAGCAACATCAAAGCAGCAGCTTGGCCACACTGCTGGCTTGTTAGGCTGAGGTTTTCCCTGTGTCTTAACACCACAGATGACCCTGAAACTCACGGTCATCCCAGTGCATTTGGTGATGGAGTAAAAAAACTTTAATGGGATTTGCTTATTCCATTTTATTACTAAAGGTTCTGCATGTGAGACTCAGCCCCTTTTCTGGATTTCATGCACCTTTATTGGGGAAATACTTTGATAAGCAGATGTAGTGGGAGTTAAGGCTTCAGTGCGTCTGAGTGTGTGTGGAACTACCCTGTGGAAGATGAAGGGAGAGGGTTTGCTTTGCTTGGTTTCTTAGAAGAAGGAGAGGTTGAACAGAAGTGAATGGCAAAAGGTCATCCCCTCTGCCATGGGCTCTTCCTCTTTCCTCTTTCCTTTTCCTATTATATAAATTTCCTCTTTCCTCTTTCCCTTTCCTATTATATAAATTGTTGGTTATATCTAGGAAATGAGGGAGGGAGGAAGTGAAAGAGGGAAGGAAGGAGGAAGGAAGGAATGAAGGAAGGAAGGAATGAAGGAAGGAAGGAAAGAAGGAAGGAAGGGACACAAAGTGCTTGATGAGCATGGATTTCTTTGGAAACAGAAGTAGCTGAGTTCTTTAGTAAGAATATTCTGGAGGATGGTAGAGGTGGTGAGTGGTAAATGAAACAGGTAAGGAGGGTGAAAGCCATGGAAAGAGAATTGTGTGGGGAAGGTTTAGTTGCCATAAGCCCTGGATTGAAAGTTGTTTCCAAATTAAACCACATCTATAAAACATGGAAGGGACCCTTCCTGATACCCTGAAGGCAGAAGGCAGTGTGTGACTGGTGAGAGCAGCAGCCAGCAGACCCAAGATGGTTGTAAACAATGTGGGATGTTCCTGGAGACCCCCAGAAGTATTGAACAGTTTAGCAAGGAGCTGAGTTTCTGTTTAATGGGTTCATGGAAATTAATGGGATGTGGTTATAAAGTTTCTATGATCTTACTTGAGACCCCAGGAGATGGAGGTTGAGGGACACTGGGGCTGTAATAGATTGTGTATCTATGGCACCCACTTGGTATAAACTTATTGTGGTCACAAACCTTCTTTTACTCATCTTTATAACTCTTCTTGTTTCCCAGTTACCCTTTGTTAATCTTACCAAGTGCCCAGTACTGCCCCTGGCATATATTACAGTCACTCAGTTATTATATATGTAATGAATAAATGAATAAAGGATACATACATAAAACACTCTCACTCAGATGTCTGTACAATGGCCCATGCTATTCTTCATTCCTGATTAACTCTAGTGTCTTTCCTGTGTTTTTGGTCTCTATCTTTCTGCCATGAGAAAATTAATGGTGCTATCATAGAATCATTCAGGCTGATACTTAGAATTATAGGGTAGAAGAGCTGGAAGGGACTTTAGAGACAGAGTCCAATGCCTTTGACAAAATCTGAACTCTTTAAAAGAAAACCTGAGGCAGATTTCAGCAAATTCCCATTTATCTGAAGTCCAAGGAAGCAGGAAATGCAAATGGCTAGAATCTTTTATACATTCTCTGCCATGTTTTTCTTTGTAAAAAAAACCCTTGTAATTGTAAAGATTTTTATGGGATATCAAGTCCTTTCACTTACATTATCTCATTGAATCATTGTTGTATCTTTTTAAGTAACCATTGATCTTCTCCATTTCTCAAAGATTAAGTGGCTTGCTTTAAACTATTCAGCCACCAAATGTAGCTGGGTACAAAATGATCTACTGAGTCAAGTTTTAGTGTGAGATTTCCCACCTCGTAGGAAGCTTACTGTCTCAACCATTTCCTTCATAAGAAATAGCTCCTAGATTCTCTCAATCTATTGCTTCAACTCCATAGCCATATGGGTAGCTATGAATCAATTCTGTTCTTATACTAATTTTGCTGAGTTGTGATATGGTCTCAATTTAGGGTTATCTTGAGTAAAGAAGATTTTTTTAGTTTCCCAGTGCCACTGTACCAAGTTACCACAAATTTACTATTTCTGAAGTCTTGGAGTTCTGGAAGTCAAAAGTCTAAATTGAATCTTATAGGGCTAAAGTCTTACAGGGGTTTATCAAGATATA